AAAAAAAAAAAAAAAAAAAAAACAAGAAAAATCTCAAATAAGTAATCTTAAACTACTCCTAACAAAATGACAGAAAGAAAAACTAACAGAGCCCAAAGTCAGCAGAAGGAGGGAAATAATAAAAAATACAGCAGAAATAAATGAAATAGAAACTAAAAAGTCAGGGGAAAGGATCAATGAAACTTAGAACTGGTTCCTTGAGAAGATAAACAAAATTGACAAACCCTTAATCAGACTCTCTAAGAAAAAGAGAGAAGGCTGAAAAAAAATCAAAAATGAGAGGAGAAATTACAATGCATACCACAGAAACAGAAAGGATTATAAGAAAATACTATGAAAAACTATATGCCAACAAATTGGATAACCTAGAAGAAATGGATAAGTTCTTAGACTCATACAACCTCCCAAAACCGAATCAAGAAGAAGTAGAGAATCTGAATAGACCAATCACAAGTAAAGAGATCAAAACAGGAATCAAAAACCTCCCAAAAAACAAAAGCCCAGGACCAGATGGCTTCTCTGGACAATTCTACCAAACATTAAAAGAATATTTAATACCTATCCTTCTCAAACTATTCCAAAAATTGAAGAAGATGGAAAACTTCCTAACTCATTCTGTGAGGCCAACATCACCCTGACACCAAAACCAGGCAAGGACAGCACAAAGAAGGAAAATTACAGACCAATATCACTGATGAACATAGATGCAAAAATCCTCAACAAAATATTGGCAAACCGAATACAGCAATACATTAAAAAGATCATACACCACGATTAAGTGGGATTTATACCAGGAAAGCAGGGGTGGTTCAACATCCACAAATTAATCAATAACATCACATTAATCAATTAATCAAGATACATAAGATAATCAAGATAAATTAATCAAGATACATCACGTTAACAAAATGAAGAGCAAAAATCACATGCTAATCTCAACAGATGCAGAGAAAGCATTTGACAAGATCCAACATCCGTTTATAACAAAAACTCTCAATAAAATGGGTGTAGAAGGAAAGTACCTCAACCTGATAAAGTCCATATATGACAAACCCACAACCAAAATCATACTAATGAAAAAACGAAAGCCATACCTCTGAGAACAGGAACAAGATGAGGGTACCCACTCTCGCCACTCCTATTCAACATAATACTGGAGGTTTAGGACACAGCCTTTAGGCAAGAAAAAGAAATAAAGGGAATCAAAATTGGAGAGGAAGAAATGAAACTCTCACTGTTTGCAGATGACAGGATTCTATATAAATAAAACCCTAAAGAATCCAACAGAAAACTATTAAAAATAATCAACAACTACAGCAAAGTTTTAAGGTACAAAATCAACCTACAAAAAGAGGTTGCATTTCTATACACTAATAACGAACTAGCAGAAAGAAAAGTCAAGAATACAAACCCATTTACAATCGCAAAAAAAGAATAAAATATTAAGGAATGAATTTAACCAGAGAGGTGAAATATTTGTACACTGAAAACTATAAGACATTATTGAAAGAAATAGAAGAAGATATAAAGAAGTGGAAAGATATTCCATGCTTATGGATTGGAAGAATAAACAGAGTTAAAATGTTCATACTACCTAAAGCAATCTACAGATTCAACACAATCCCAATTAGAATCCCAATGACATTCTTCATGGAAATAGAACAAAGATTGCTAAAATTTATATGGAACAAGAAAAGACCCTGAATAGCCAAGCAATCCTGAGAAAAAGAACAAAGCTGGAGGCATCACAATCCCTGACTTCAAAATGTACTACAAAGCTATACTAACCAAAACAGCATGATACAGACACAAACACAGACGCACAGATCAATGGAACAGAATTGAGAGCCCAGAAATAAACCACACATCAATGGACAGTTAATCTTGGAAAAAGGACCCAAGAAGAAAGAGAAGTCTGTTCAATAAATGGTGTTGGGAAAACTGGACAGCCACATGAAAAACAATGAAAGTAGACCATTATCTTGCACCATACACAAAAATTAACTGAAAACGGATTAAAGACTTGAATGTAAGACGTGAAACCATAAAACTCGTAGAAGAAAATATAGGCAGTACACTCTTTGATATCAGTCTTAGCAGCATCTTTTCAAATACCATGTCTAGTTAGGCAAGGGAAACAAAAGAAAAAATTAATAAATGGGACTATATCAGACTAAAAACTTCTGCAAAACAAAGGAATCCATGAGCAAAATGGAAAGACCCGCCAACTGGGAGAAAATGTTTCCAAATCATATAACTGACAAGGGGTTAATTTCCAAAAACTATAAAGAACTCTTACTACTCAACAAGAAAAATGAACAACTCGATCAAAAACTGGACAGAGGATCTGAACAGACATATTTCCAAAGAAGATATACAGATAGCCAACAGGTACATGAAAAGCTGTTCTACATCACTAATTGTTAGGGAAATGCAAATCAAAACTACAATGAGATATCACCTTACACCTATTAGAACAGTTATAATTACCTAGGCAAAAAATAACATGTTTCAGAGGATGTGGAGAAAATGGAACCCTCATACACTGCTGGTGAGAATGCAAACTGGTGCAGCCACTAGGGAAAGCAGTATGGAGATTTCTCAAAAAATTAAAAATACAAATAACATATGATCCAGCTATCCCACTACTGGGTACTTCTCCAAAGAACTACAAATCAACAATTCAAAGAGATTTATACCCCACTATGACCATCACAGCATTATTCACAATAGCCAAGACGTGGAAGCAACCCAGTGCCCATCGAACGATGAATGGATAAAGAAGATGTGGTATATATCTACAATGGGATACCACCCAGCCACAAAAAAAAGATAATCGTCCCATTTGCAACAACATAGATGGTCTCGAGGTTATGATGTTAGGTAAAATGAATCAGACAGAGAAAGACAAACACTGCCTAATTTCACTCCTATGTGGAAAACAAACACACACATGGATAAAGAGAACAGATTAGTGCTTACCATGGGGGAAGTGGACTGGGGGGTGGGCGAAAGGTGTAAAGGGGCACATATATATGGTGACGGATAAAAATGAGACTATTGGTGGTGAGCATCATGCAGTCTAAACAGAAACTGATAAGTAATAATGTAGACCTGAAATTACACCATGTTTTAAACCATTATGGCCTCAATAAAAAATGGAAAAATATATAATAATAATAATAATTTAGAACAAAAATCCAAACTACCACGGTTCTGGTGAAGATTATATGTAGCCTTCCGCCATGTAATCTTCTTCAAATGAAAATTCAGTAAAGGATACTATTAAATTACTTCAGATTTATAGAGAAGAGTGCGTCATGTAGGTGGAATGAGGGAAAGATTTTAAATCTAACTTGCATGTTGATCCAGAAGGGTGGATGGCACAGCTACTCAGTAAGGTTCAGCCAGCGTGATAGCTTAAAAACAAAGGTGTGACAACACGCACGAAATACCTTATTTATGCTCATCATTTACACCCTTGGACAGAACAGGTGACAACAATATGTGGGCACTATCCACAGAGGAAGAGGAAGAGCTAATAATCACGCTATTGTCTCTCTAGCAATCCCTGTTCTGAACAATGTGCACACACTGTGAATAACGCTTTTCAGAAACTCATTATCATTGCCCAATTTTGTACATAAAGAGATGAAATCTCAGGGTTAAGAAGCGAGAGCCGTGAGCTCACGTGGTATTTCAGAGCAGAACTCAGACGGGGCTTATTTCTGTCTTGTCCTTTGCTGGTGACCTCTCTTAATCACTCACTTTATATAGAAAGTTTAAAATGCTCGTGGAGCACTGGAGACAGAAAATGGGGATCAGTGTGGACTGACTGTAGTTTGAAGTTCGGATGACTAAGATCTTCATGATGTGAACACTTCTGCAAGCCCCACCCAGGAGGAGGAAAGAGGATGTGGATTGTCTTCACTCTAGGGGTGAGAGCAGGGCCATCCCACAATTGCTGGAGGTCTGTGTCACATACCTGAGAAGTCTATTCCTCAGAAGAGCACATCACTGGGGCCAGTAGGCAGCTTGGAAGCAGGACCATGTCCCTGGTTCTTCCCACTCTGCTCTGTCTTGGTGAGTCTGGGAGATAAGGGCCTGGCTGCAAATAAAAGGCTGCAGCGGGGCAGGTCCAGTGGTCCTAGAAGGCTGAGGTGTCTCACCCACTGTTTCCTTCCAGGGTTGTCCCTAGGCCAGAGCACTCAGGCACAGAACGGTGAGTATTCCTATTAATACACACAAGTTTTTACTCCTGGTTTAGAACAGATATCACCTCTCTTGACAGCTGGGAAGAGGAGACTCAGCATTTTCACTGGCAACTGTAAGAGGTGATGAAGTGAAGGGATGGTGTCAGAAACAGACACACCAGAAAGTCCATTGCAAGTTATCTTTCTTCTAGGAAATCTCCCCCAGCCTCATATCACAGCTCTGCCTGGACCCATGGTTCTGCATAGTAATCCTGTGCTGATCCTGTGCCAAGGGCCTGCAGAGGCTGAAGCATACGTCATATCTAAAGTGGGAAACCGTGAGCCCTTGGAGAGAAAGAACCAACTGCTGCGTGAGAGGATCAACCATTTGACTATTGCAGAGATGACGCCAGACAGGTCTGGGCTGTACCACTGTTCCTATCAGAGTGGAGGCAGCTGGTCCCAATTCAGTGACCCCCTGCAGCTGGTGATAACTGGTGAGTGGGAAACAGAGGCAGCAGAGCCAGGACTGAACCCTTTGCAGAGGGAAGAACCAGGCTTTGCTGATACAAAAGCACAGCAGAGCAAAGCCTCTATCTTAGGAAGAAATCAGTTATGATGCAGAGACAGATTCCTCAGGGCTGGACAAGGAGGGGATAGAAATCAGTCTTCTCTGCTCCCAGGAACAAAAGGAGATAATGCATGTGTGTGGCCCTCTCTTTGTCACCAAACTTCCTTCTTTCCCAGGAGCTTATGACAAACCTTCCCTCTCAAGCATGACTGGCACTGTGGTGGCTTCAGGGAAGAATGTGAAGTTACAGTGTTTCTCAACACTCAAGTTTGACGCATTTATTCTTATTGAAGAAGATGAAGTTCACGCCATCCAGAACCAAAGCTCCACTCCCAAGGGTGGTGGACTTCATGCCGTCTTCCTCTTGAATCACGTCTCCTCCACACAGGCCAGGACATACAGATGCTACGGTGCCCTCCGCAATTACCCCTATGTGTGGTCTCACCCCAGTGACCCATTGCAGCTTCAGGTCAGAGGTGAGGAAGTCACAACCCAACCACCATCCTGTGCCCTCCTGGAGACCGACACTGTCCAGGTGGAGCAGTGATTGGGAAAAGAAGACAGTGTGGTGGGAAGGTGGTGTCACCACCGTCTGCTTAGACAGGAAGCTCTGAGGAACTCACTCCCCTCACACACAATGCAGCCCTCCTACCACATTCCCAAGGGCCAGGAAGGTCAGGGTAGTCACGGGGAGTCTGGATAGAAGGGAGCCTGAGCAGAGAGAAAGAAAACTCCCATTTCAGCCCCATTTTCAGAAGCTCCTGTGGATCCTGATCCCACAAACCCCAGATCTTCACCTGGTGAGTAACTGAGTTTAGATGGAAAACTAAAAAAAATTCAAGTAGAAGTGAAAAAGAAAACCACTCTGATTTCATCCCCATTTGCAGAAGCTCCTGAAGATTCTGATCCCACGAAGCCCAGACCTTCACCTGGTGAGTAACTGCTGATCTTTGTAGAAGGAAAACACAGGCACAGGGAATAGCAGGTGTAAAAGGCTTGAAGTAGACAGAAACTTCACCTGCCCACAGAGTGTCCAGGAGACCATTCCTGTTTGCTGAGTCCATGGCTTAATTAGAGGGCAATAGCAAGGAAAGAGCAGGAAGGGCTCCAGTGGAGCAGGCTGGAGGCACCGTCTCACTGCTCCTGTCTTTCTTGACCCCAGAATTCCCTGGTGGGATCACCACCGCACCCACAATGACAGGAGGAAAGAAAGGTAAGTAATTGCTTATCCTGTGGGGGTGGGCTGGTCTGCTTACATGCCACAGCCAGTAGACTAGAAAATTTGTGCTCATGTTTTGGAGTACATTAGTGGATTGGATCTTGGTGCCTCCTCTTTAACCTTCTATCCTTTTCTCTCAGAGCCTGCTGCTTGGCATCCTTCTGCAGAGAATCAAGTCCGGCTGAGCCTAGCTGGCCTGATTCTCTTGGTCCTGGGGGTCCTGTTGGCTGAGGCCTGCTACAGCTGGAAGATGCCCTTAAATGGAATCAGACAAGTCTCTTCTTGAATATAATGACAAGCACTGACGACCCTCAACTGGCACCTAAAGACTGTGTGGACCCTTAGGGGGCAGCCAGAAGAGATAGGGCCCTGGCCATGTAATCTACTGGGATAATGGAGAAGATTCATTTGCTATTGAATGTGTAACAATTTACCAGAGTCATAGTCCTTAAGCAATACAAATCTATTCTCTTGTGGTTCTGGAGAGCAAAAATCTAAAATACATCTGCAGGCCTGTGTTCCTGTTCTAGTTTCTCGTCTGTGTTCCTGACTTGTCAAGTTTCTAGACTCTGCCTGCAGTCCTTGCCTTGGAGCGCCTTCCTCCATCTCCAAACCCACAAGTGTAGCATCTCCTTAACCTCCCTAACCTCTGCTCCCTTCATTCCTTCATCTCTCTATCACTCCCACCCTCCTGCTTTCCTCTTCTGAGGACCCTGTGATGACTGAGCCCAAGAAGATAATCCAGGATAATCTCCCAATCTCAAGATTCTTAACTTCCTCACATCTGCAATGTCCCTTTGCCATGTCAGGTACCATTCACAGGTTCTGGGGATTAGACATGCACAACTCTAGGGGGCACTATTCAGCCAACCTCCTCGAGCTCAGTAAATTTGGCCGTTGAACCTGGCTGTACTTGCACTTGTATGCTACCTCCCGGGGTACAGATGGGGCTTAACTATTATAATACTCTGTAGAATTTAGGACAGGTCATGATTTAAATAGATAGAGAGATTCTTAATAAACTTTGCTTACGTATATGGTAAAGTGTAGATCCCTAAGACTGCTTGTACTTGGAGGGAGAATAGTAGATGTAGGGATAGAAATGCTGATTTTTTTTCTTCAATAATATCCCTTATTTTTAATTTAAGGATCATAGAAAGCAAATGTAACAGTATGAACATTTAAGTTGGTTGGTTTGTTTTGTGATTAAGTAACACAAGTATTTGTTATGTTAGCCATTGTTCCTTTTCAGGGCTTATTTTTCTTTTTTCTGAAAAGGAACTTCTTTAAATGCATGGGACTAAAACAACAGACTCACAGAATGGTTAACTCCGACTCCTGTTACAGTTAAATTGATGAAATTATTCCGGAATTGCTTAGCTCCAATCTACTGAAGTAAATAATAAATATCCTCAGACTTAACCCAGATGGATACTGTGTTCTGTAGAGACATGTAGATACTAAGTTACATCACTTGTTCTTTGTTCTCATCTCTGCCCCATGATTACATTCTCTAAGAGCTCTCTGCTACTGGCTGCTGTTCCCTCACCAAATTGCCCTTCTTCTGGTTAATTCCTACATTTTTCTCAGTGTCAGCATATGCATAATTTTTTCTAAGATGTTTTCTCTGAACGCCTTCTCAGGCTCTTCTAGTTGTCACTGTCATGTTCTAAATAGCAACTTTTTTCTAAAGGACAAATAATAAATATTTTGGGCTTTGTGAGTAATCTGATCTTCTTTGTAACCACTTGATTCTGCTGTTGTTGAACAAAAGTAACTGTAGGTGGCACATAATCACATGGGCATAGACGTGTTCCTATGAAATTTTGTTTACAGGACACTGAAGAGTGAATTTCAAATCGTCTTCGTGGGTCATAAAATATTCATTTTCCTTTGATTTTTTTTAATCATTGAAAAATGTAAAAGTCATTCTCAGTCCAGGGGCTGTATCAAAACATACAGCAGGTGTTAGAACTCAATAATCATGTCTTATGGACTGTCCTCCAAAAAGTTAAACCCAGGAGTCACATTAGCATCATGGTGGAGTGAGTGGTTCCCTTTGTCTCTCCCTTCAGAGTTGCACCAGACAGACATCTAGTGACCCAAAAAGGACTCCCTGCACAGCACACCAGAACGCCTGAGTGATCCATGCCTCAAGACATGTGAAGATGCGTAGACCAGATCTCCAGAATGAATTGGAACAAGGGGAAGAGCAACCTCTCTCTCCACCAGTGGCAGCAACCCCATACGTGGTTCCTCACACCAGTGTACACACCAATGACCACAGGCTATAAAGGCAAACAGGGCACTCGTGGCTTTGCACCTTCCCACCCCCAGCAGTGGTGGGTGACACATACATCCTGAGGCTCCAGACTACAGCAGAGCTGGCAACCTTTCCCCTCCCACTCCCCTGGCAAGAGGCTGGTTTTTCCAGCAGTAGGGACTACAGCCAAGACATGAGTTTCCCCAGAAGGAGTGGGGTCCCCAGATCCAAATTCTCAGAGTAGATCATCTGCATGTGCACCAGCACTGACAACCAAAAGCTGTGGCTCCTGCCCCTCCTAGGGTTGGTGGGTGGTGCACACACCCTGAGGCTTCAGGATACAGAGCAGAAACAGAGACCTGACCCCCTCCCAATTCCCCCACCACTGGCACCTGTCTTTCCAGCAGTAGGGCCTACATCCAAGATATAAATTTCCCCAGCAGGGGTGGGGCACTCTCATCTGAAGTTTCAGAGCAGACTACCAGCACACACCAGCACCACAGACCAGAGGCAGTGACCCTGGCCCCCCTCAGCGGTGGCAGGTGGATGCACATGTCCTGAGGCTTTAGGACACAGAGTGGTGCCAGTGACCCAGCCGCTCTTCCTCCCTTTGCAGTGGTGCAGATCTCTCCAGCAGTAGGGACAGCAGCCCAATGTGGATTTCACCTGCAGGAGCAGGATGCTCTAACCTGAGGTCTCACAAATCACACCAGCAGGCACCAGTGACCAGAGACTGCAGGGGCAGCATCAACACTTGCAGCTTAGCCACTACTCCTCCCCCAGCAGTGGCAGGTGGCACCTGCAAACTGATGTACCACGGATCACAGCAGTAGCTGAGACCCTGACCCCAGTGGCAGCATCACCAACAACAGCTCTACAAGGAACAGAGGCTGCATACAAGAACGGGGGCACCTGACAGCATGCGTGACCCCTGTGAACCCAGAAACCCTGGTAGTGGTGCTGCCACCACCCCCAGATAACCCAGAAGCAAAAGCACAGGTGGTGCATGGGGCAGGAGCACCCAAGACCACGGAAAGCAGAGCACAAGAGGGGGAACACAAAATGCAGAAAACCCCAGAAGCAGCAGAAGTGCTCACAGCCCAGAGATGCCAGTGGCAACACCGGAGACTCCAGAAACATTGAAAGCAGCAAGGCACCACCAACTTCACAGAAACGAGCAGCATAAAAAGGGCACTGAAGACACCTCTAACAGAGGCAGTGGAGGTGGCAAGTGCAGGCTCTCAAGTACAGCCAGAAGCCACACAGAACCAAAGTAACTAAAGCCTTACCCAAGTAGTAAATGTGGTTACTACCACAAATGTGCCAGCAGTGGATCAATTCATCAAACACCATGAAGAACTACAGTAACATGGCAGAACTGAAGGAGAATAACAGCTCTCCAGAAACCAACCTTGAAGTCAAACAAGAATACACTATGATTGACAGAGAATTCAAAATAGCTGTCATAAAACAACTCAATGAATTACAAGAAAACTCAGAAAGACAGTTCAATGAGCTCAGGAATAAAATTAATGAAGAGAAGGAATACTTCATCAAAAAGACTGAAGCTCTAAAAAAAATTACAAACAGAAATTCTAGATATGAAGAACTCAATTAAGGAGATAAAAAATGATGCACAAAGCATAAAAAATAGATCAGACCTTATGATGGAGAGGTTCAGTGAGCTAGAAGATAGAAACATGGAAATGATCCAGGTGGACCAAGAGAGAGATATAAGATGTTTTTAAAAAGGAAAAATTCTTCAACAAATATCTGACTCAATTAGGAAAAGTAACATAAGGATTATAGGTATTCCAGAGGAAGAAGAGAGGGCAAAAGGAGCAGAGCTCATTCAAAGAAATAATAGCTGAGAACTTCTCAAACCTGGGGAAGGACCTGGACACACAAGTACATGAAGCTAATAGAACTCCTAATTACACCAATGCAAAAAGACCTTGTCCAAGGCATATCAGATCAAAACTGGCAAAAGTCAGTGACAAAGAAAAAATATTAAGGGAAGCAGGAGAGAAGAAAATAACCTACAAAGGAGCCCCCATCTGGCTTTCAGCGCATCTCTGAGCAGAAAACTTACAGGCTAGGAGAGAGTGGAATGATATATTCAAAATACTGAAAGACAAAAACTATCAGCCAAGAATACTCTACCCAGTGAAATTATCCTTCAATATGATGGAGAAATAAAAGGTTTCCCAGATAAACAAAAGCTGTGGGAGTTCATCACCACTAGACCTGAGATAAGAAATGAAGAAAGGAGCCCTCCTACCTGAAACCAAAAGGAAAAGGTTTAGAAAGCTTTGAGCAACGTGATAATTAGACAAGCAGAATCAGAAAATTGCAGCTGTATATCAGAAGTGGTTAGCAAACAATTAATTACAACATAAAAGATGAAGGAAAAGAAAGCATCAAAAATAACAATAACCACTTAAATTTGGGCACAATCTCACAACACAATAAAGAATAACTTGTAAAAACAAAAACAAAGAAAGGGAAGAGGAAAGGGATGGAACCTGCATAGGCCAATGGAGATAACAGGCTATCAGAAAAAGGACTATCTCATCTATGAGAACTTTTACATGAACCTCATGATAACCACAGAACAAAAATTGGAACAGAGTGTGACGTCAGCATCATGGAGGAGTGAGCTTTCCTGTAAACTCTTCCCCCGATAACATACAACAAAAGGAACAGTCACAGACCAACAACAGAATCCCAGATAGCAAAAAGCAAGGTCGGAAAGATCCACACTGCCATACATCTGAGAGTAGAACGTGCTGGGCCCCCGGAGGAAGTGGGGAGAGGTAAGGAGAATTCCTCTCCCTCCCCATCAGATCAGCGATCCTGGTCCACACGGCTCCCAGAGAGGGGAAAGGCATGGCCCTCTGCTGGGAAACTAGCTCTTTGGGCTCTCTCAGCCAGTGGGAAACTCCCACACAGAGGACTCAGAACTGCTACGGGGTACCATCAACATCTGAGCACCCCAGGAGA